GCATTACCACACAACAAAAGAGTAAGCCTGTCTTTCATAGGCTTGTGTCCTGGCAGTGCCTTTTCCTCCTGGGTAATGTAGGTCCTGTTTGGCATTTTCTTCCAAAACAGGCCTGTTTCGTAACAAATGAACACTTGTTGGGGTTTGAATCCTTCAGCCTTTACATAGTCCTGGAATTCATGAACATACTTTTCAGCTGCACATTTGTCAGAACTTGCAGCCTCACCATGCCTTACAACACTGTGTATGCCACTACACTTCTTAAATCTATCAAACCATTCTTTACTGGTTCTATGTTCACAAGCTGCAGCACTTGCTCTGGGCTTTTTCTTTGCAAGATCCTTATGCAACTGCTTTGCCTTCTCACAAATGATCAACTCCACAGTGTCTCCCACAAATTCTTTTTCCTTAATCCACAATAATAATAACTTTTCCATCTCTTCCATTATTGGTGGCCTTTGTTTAGTTAGAAAAGTTACTCCTTTTGCAACATTAGCATCTTTGATTTGTTCTTTCTTTGTCAGGATGGATGTAATTGTTGATTTATTCTTGCTGTACATCCTGGCAAGTTCCATCACCTTCATACCACTCTCAAACTTTTCTATCACTTCATGCTTAAATTCCATGGTGTTTCTCATGTTCTTTACCACAGGAACTTTACTAGGAACTTTCTTTGGAGCCATCTTTACTTATTTCACAGTTGCACTGCAAGAAAAACCACTAAAAACAATGGTAAACAAGCAAAATGTTTGGATGTATTAGCAGAAGCTTCCTCAGCCACTGAGAGACAAAGCAAAACTGAAGCTCAAGCTGCCCCAGCCGGCGGATGGATGTGTCCAAAATGGCTGATAACCGAGCAAACAGCCGATAACCGGGCGCCGAAAAACCCGCCAATAACCAAACCGGCCGATAACCAGGGGTCCACTGTACATGTATATGTAAATGACATGATGGAAGGGATAGACTCGGAAGTGTCCCTGTTTGCAGATGATGTGAAGTTGATGAGGAGAATTAAATCGGATTAGAATCTGGCAGGACTACAAAGAGACCTGGACAGGCTGGAAGCTTGGTCCAGCAACTGGCTTCTTGAATTTAACCCTGCCAAATGCAAAGTCATGAAGATTGGGGAAGGGCAAGAAGACTGCAGACAGACTTTAGGCTAGGTGGCCAGACACTGCAAACCTCACTCAAGGAAAAGGATCTTGGGGCGAGTATAAAACTGAGCACATCTCAGGCACACATCAACCAGATAACTGCTGCAGCATATGGGTGCCTGGCAAACCTGAGAATAGCATTCCAATACTTCGGTAAGGAATCGTTCAAAAGACTGTACACCGTGTACGTCAGGCCCATACTGGAGTATGCAGCACCAGTTTGGAACCCACACCTGGTCAAGCACATACAAGAAATTAAAGAAGGTACAAAGGTTTGCAACAAGGCTAGTTCCAGAGCCGAGGGGAATGTCTTACAAAGAAAGGTTAAGGGAAATCGGCCTGATGACACTGGACCTTTGTTTCACTTAAAATTAGATATATGGTGGACCCCAGGTTATCATAATCCGTTCCAGAGAGAGTGATTAAACCCGAATCTAACGATTTCCGAATTCATTTTTTCCCATAAGAAATAATGTAAATCAAATTAATCTGTTCCAGACATCCAAAAGTATTAACAAAAATAATTTTTTATAGATTAAATATAGATTTACGTACAGAAAAGAATGAGAAATCGAGTATAAAACAATATCACACTTACCTTTATTGAAGACTCTTGTTGGTGTATGGAAGATGGGAGGAAGGGTTAGGATGATTTTTCTCCACAAATGTATGCACCTCACTCCACTTTGCACAGATCCCCTTAATCTTTAAAGAAGGCACCTTCTTTCCTCTCTCTTTCTCCTCCTCTGAAGCAATTTCCTCAGCTGGTGTACATAAGAACATAAGAAAGCAGGAACACTGCAGCAGGCCTGTTGGCCCATACTAGGCAGGTCCTTCACAAACCATCCCACTAACAGAATCATATTTGCCCAACCCACTTTTCAATGCTTCCCAAGCAATAAGCTTTGATAATTCTATTTACTCATACACAAGTCCCACTCAAATCAAATCATGTGTGTGGGAAAGTACTTTGTCTGGTATGTGGGGAAGTACCCTGGCTGGTGTGTGGGGAAGTACCCTGGCTGGTGTGTGGGGAAGTAAGAACATGAGAATGGAGGAACACTGCAGAAGGCCTACTGGCCCATGCAAGGCAGGTCCTTATCAAAACAACCTCTACCTAAAGCTACCCAAGAAATAACTCCCGTACCCAATGACACCAATCAAACCCAGCCCCTCCCACTCATATATTTGTCCAATCTCTTCTTAAAGCTACCCAAGGTCCTAGCCTCTGTCACCCTACTGGGAAGATTGTTCCACACATCTACAACTCTGTTAGAAAACCAGTACTTACCTATGTCCTTTCTAAATCTAACTTTATCCAACTTAAATCCATTATTTCTGGTTTTTACCTGGTTCGACACCCTCAGTACTTTAATAATATCTCCTTTGTTTATGCCCGTCATCCACTTACACACTTCAGTGATATCTCCCGTCATTCCACGTCTCTCCAGAGAGTGGAGATTTAAGGCTTTAAGTCTGTCTTCATATGGGAGATTCCTTACACAGTAAATCATTTTAGTCATTCTTCTCTGTATGTTCTCCAATGAGTCTATATCCATCCTGTAGTAAGGGGGCCAAAACTGAGCAGCATAATCTAAATGAGGCCTCACTAGTGCTGTATAGAGCTATAAAATAACTTTTGGACTACTGTTACTTATACTTCTTGAGATAAATCCAAGTAATCTGTTAGCTTTGTTGTGCACACTAAGGCACTGCTGTCTTGGCTTTAGATTTCTGCTTATCATGACTCCCAAGTCTTTTTCACATTCTGTATAATCAGGCTCTACTTCGCCTAGATTATAGCTTCGAGGGTTATTTTCATTACCAAGGACTAGTACCTTAAACTTATCCACATTGAACTTCATCTGCCATTTTTCAGACCAAGACATTAATTTGTCCAAATCCTTCTGGAGTTCATTGCTATCCTCCTCAGAATGAATTATATGGCCTATCTTTGTATCATCAGCAAATTTACTCACGTCACTCATAATCCCTTCATCAAAGTCATTAATGTAAATTATGAACAAGAGAGGGCCTAAAACTGATCCTTGTGGAACACCACTAGTGACTAATCCCCATTCAGATTTCACCCCATTAATGGTAACTCTCTGCTTTCTATTGGTAAGCCATGCCTCTATCCATGCTAGAACTTTACCTCCTATACCATGAGCTGCCACTTTTCTTAAGTCTCTTGTGAGGTACTCTATCGAAGGCTTTACTAAAATCCAAATAAACAATATCAATATTCTTTATCACTGTCAACTGCCTCAAATGTTCTATTGAAGAACGTCAGTAAATTTGTCAGGCAGGAACGACTTCTCATGAATCCATTCTGAGATTCATTTATCAAGTTATGCTCTTCAAGGTGACTTCTAATAATGTCAGCTATAATTGATTCTAATAACTTGCCCACTATAGATGTCAGGCTTATTGGATGGTAATTTGAAGGAGTGGACTTATCCCCTGATTTGAATATAGGAACCACATTAGCCATCTTCCACAACTCTGGCACAACACTGGTAAGGATGGATGCATTAAACACACTCATTAATGGCCAACTAAGCTCCATCTTGCATTCCTTAAGTACCCTGGAAAACAGCTTATCGGGTCCCGGGGACTTATTTTGCTTCAGTTTGTCTACCTGTTTAATAACTATGTCCCTCGTGACAGTAATACTAGTTAATTTAAATTCATCAGGAACTATATAATTGTTAATTACTGGAATCTCATTTACATCTTCCTGTGTAAAAACTGACAAAATATAGTCATTAAATAAGAAACACATTTCCAGTTCGTTATCCGTCAGCTGTCCATTCAAAATTTTCAGAGGTCCTACTTTTTCCTTCACCTTCATCCTATACACTTGAAAACCCCCTTTGGATTAGTCTTTGATTCATTAGCAACTCTAATTTCATAGTCACATTTAGCCTTTCTAATCCCCTTTTTTACTTGTCTTTTAAGCTGAACATATTGGTCAGTAAGGTTAACCTCTCCTCTTCTGATGTACCTATAAATTCCCATTTTCTTCCCTAATAGATGCTTTAGCCTCCTGTTAACCCATTTGGGATTGTTATTATTAGACCTAATTTCTCTCTGGGGAATGTATATACTCTGAGCATGGTGTACATTATTAAGAAAAAATCAAAAGTACCCTGGCTGGTGTGTGGGGAAGTACCCTGGCTGGTGTACATAAGAAAACAGGAACACTGCAGCAAATCTGTTGGCCCATACTAGGCAAGTCCTTCACAAACCATCCCACTAACAGAATTGTATTTGCCCAACCCAATTTTCAATGCTTCCCAAGCAATAAGCTTTGATAATTCTGTTTACTCATGCACAAGTCCTACTTAAATCAAATTGTGTAGGTGGGGAAGTACCCTGTCTGGTGTGTGGGGAAGTACACTGGCTGGGGTGTGGGGAAGTATCTTGGCTGGTGTGTGAGGAAGTACCCTCGCTGGTGTGTTCTTTCTTAAATTCTATTGTGTTTATCGCTTTCTTTGCCAAAGGGCTGGCACTAGGAGCTTTCTTTTGGCCCATGGTGGCGTATTTAGCAGTTGCAAACACTAAAGCTAATGGAATATGTATTACAAAATGTATCGTATGAATGCTTGGGATAGTGCTCACCGGCTGATAAACAATGACACACTGACTGTAAATGGTGTCGGGCTGCTCGGACACGTTCGGGACAAATGACTATTACTGAGCTAAATGACGATCACCGAGCCAATATTTTGACGAAAAAAAGTTACTGTTTCCTTATACAGTATTACGAAATCCGATGACTACGAAATCCGGGGGTCCACTGTACTGTACATACATCATCCTAAGTATTTTATTTCATTTCAGCTAGAAGATAAAAAAGTATCTGTGAAAGGTGGTATGCCAGCTAAAGAAAAAACTCCAGAATGTTCTGTAGCTCAACTCTTAGCAGGAAAGCATGAAGACTTCATGTTCTTTCAGGTAAGATAAGGAGCATTTTATGCCATACTTGCAATGCTCCTTCCCATATTCTGTTGTTATGCTTTCATGATGCTGCTGTAATGTTCCTCCCTATATTCCATTGTCACTTAAAAAAATCTATCTTCTACAAAGCGTTTCTGAAAACTAATCTTTTAACTGCATTTGACGTAAACTAACACAGGATCAAACCATGTCCAGTGTAAAACTAAAAATAATACTTTTGGATTTTGTTATTCTTGAGTGCATTTTCTTTCAAGAAATTCACAAGTGCTCACACAATTGTGACTGTCTAGTGAATCGTTGTTGTTCCTATAAATGCATCAACAACAATAGCGTTGAAGAAGAAATACAATGAAACCTCTACTTGCGAGTTTAATCCATTCCATGACCTTGCTCGCAACTGGATTTGCTCGTTTACAGAGTCAGTTTTTCTCATTTAAATTAATTGAAATGCAATTAATCCATTCCAGTGGAATTCTGTACTTCAATAATTTCACTAATATCAACTTTATAGCTTATTTATCTATCTCAGTTGATCTAATATGACATAATAAACGTAAATAGCATAGAAACCTGATATATACTCTAAAATGAATAAAGTATGTAATTCATGTAGTGGTATGGGCGGTGGACGACAGTTCGTCTGGAGACCGGACAAAATACTTCTTGAATAGTTTCACTAATATCATCTATACGGCTTATTTATCTATCATAGTTCACCTAATATGACATAACAAGCAATATAAATAACATAGAAACCTGATATATACTCTGGAATGAATAAAATATGTCATTATATATGTGGCGGTGGCAGCAGCAGCCGACGAGTGTTTGGAGACAGGACAAAATACTCCTTGAATATTTCGCTATCATCAACTCTACGGCTTATTTATCTATCTCAGTTCATCTAATATGAAATAATAAACAATATAAATAACTTAGAAACTTGATATATATTCCAGAAGAATAAAATATGTCATTATGTAACAGGTGGAGGCAGCCACAACCGCTCCCTCTTTGTTGTGGTAAACACTGCTATCTAGTGACAGCCTCTAGAAGCCGTCTGTTATTATAATTATTATTATGTAGTACATTATTATTATATATGTATTATTATTATACATATTATATTATTATTATTATTATTCTTTCTTTCTTTCAACACATCGGCTGTATCCCACCGAGGCGGGGTGGCCCAAAAGGAAAAACGAAAGTTTCTCCTTTTACATTTAGTAATATATACAGGAGAAGGGGTTACTAGCCCTTTGCTCCTGGCATTTTAGTCACCTTTTACAACACGCATGGCTTACGGAGGAAGAATTCTGATCCACTTCCCCATGGAGATAAGAGGAAATAGACAAGAACAAGAACTAGTAAGAAAATAGAAGAAAACCCAGAGGGGTGTGTATATACAGTGGACCCCCGGTTAACGATATTTTTTCATTCCAGAAGTATGTTCAGGTGCCAGTACTGACCGAATTTGTTCCCATAAGGAATATTGTGAAGTAGATTAGTCCATTTCAGACCCCCAAACATACACGTACAAACGCACTTTCATAAATACACTTACATAATTGGTCGCATTGGGAGGTGATCGTTATGCGGGGGTCCACTGTATATGCTTGTGCATGTATGTGTAGTATGACCTAAGTGTAAGTAGAAGTAGCAAGACATACCTGAAATCTTGCATGTTTATGAGACAGAAAAAAAAGGACACCAGCAGTCCTACCATCATGTAAAACAATTACAGGCTTTCGTTTTACACTCACTTGGCAGGAGGTACTACCATCCTTAGCTCCCTAAGAAACCAGTTCTTGGTTTCTTAGGGAGCCATTGTAGTTCACACAAGTAGGTACTAGTGACCTCTACAAGTCCTTTCATTAGTTTTCAAATATAGCAACTTCAACATGTTCTTTTCCTTTGACTTGATTGTAGTGAGCTATAAGTTTGTATCTGTTTCTTGAGTTTAAGATATCACCACAAATCTTTAAAGACTTCTTTTGGCTTATTATTCACAGTCTCCATACAGTGGAACCTATGTTGTCGACTGTATTACTTGTCGATCAAATCGGTTTTCAAACAAGGAATTCAAAAAAAAAAAATTCTGGTTTTTGTACGTTCTCTTGGTTGTCAACCAACAATGCAGACACCTTGGGTCACGTTCTCACAGAATGTGCACAGCGTGGATCTGAGTCAGTACAGTTACTAACTTGCATGCTATAAACATCTCTTGAGCTTTTGTTATGCATCTTGTGAACTTTTTTTGTTATTTTGCAGTTTTGGTGCAAATTTTTTTATTGTGAAATAAGCCATCATGGCTCCAAAGAAGGATAAAGAGATGAAAGCAAAAATAAGTTGTAAAAAGCACTGTTGAGAAGTCATTAGAAAGTATAAAGAAGATAGGCTCCGCATGGTTGATATAGCAAAACTTTTTGGTAAATCAGCGTCTACCATTAACATGAGCCAAAGGAAAAAAAATTAAAGCAGCTGACCTTCCAAAAGGCACGAAAGTGATACCAAAGCAAAGGCCACAGATTACTGAGGAAGTTGAAAAACTCTTGTTGATATGGATAAACAACAAAACAGTTACATGGTGATAGTGTTTCAGATGCCATTATTTGTGAAAAAGCAAGGCAGTTGCATGATGACCTCCTGAAAAAAAAGAGGAACATGTGCTGAGACTCAGTCCTTCAAGGCTAGTAGGTGTCGGTTTGATAATTTTTAAGAAAATAAGTAGTATTCATAGTGTAGCTAGGCATGGGGAGGCTGCTAATGCTGACAAAGTGGCTGTTGAAAAGTATGTTACTGAATTCCAAGAATACATAGAGGCTGAGGGGTTTGTCTCCCAACAAGTGTTTAATTGTGACAAGACAGGCCTCTTCTGGAAGAAAATGCCCAAGAGGACCTGCTTAACCCTTTGGGGGTTTCGGACATACATGTACTAGTACATCTTACGACCCATGGTTTTTGACGTAGTACTAGTACACCTAAATTCTAGCACCCTCAAATCTAGTGAGAGAAAGCTGGTAGGCCTACATATGAAAGAATGGGTCTATGTGGTCAGTGTGCGCAGTATAAAAAAAATCCTGCAGCACACAGTGCGTAATGAGAAAAAAAACTTTGATCATATTTTTGGATTAAAACAGCGACTTTGCACTGATTTTGTATGGTATTTATTGTTGTATTCTAATTTTCTTGATCTCATTTTATAGAACGGAAGACATATTACAGAAATTGAGATGATTTTGACTGGTTTTACAATGAAAAGTACCTTGAAATTGAGCTCAAAGTAGCAGAAATATTCGATTTTTACCAAAGTTCAAAAGTAAACAAATCATGCCAACCGTCCAATACACATCAACTAGTGAGTCTAATATTCTTTCACAAGTGCGCTGATATTATTTATACCATTTCTACACTAATGCAGTAGTCTGCATAACAGTAAATCTTATTTTTTTTTTGTAAGAATAAAAATTCAAAGTGGAAAGCCAAAGAAATATAAGAGGGGCCTGGGGATGTGACTAACGAACAGAGAACTTGTTATTTTAGTGCCAGGAATGTCTTGTTTATTCTGGACCCTATTCGGAAATTGGCATCTTTTGAAATTTGTGAAATTGGCAAAATTGCTAAATTCTGACCACTTTATTGGATAGTTGAAATCAGTAAATGGGTGGTTTCTTGTACTCATTCGATAGAAAAAACGGAGTTCTAGCGAAATAGTTATGACTTTTGTCGACTAGTATACTGGAATTGGCCAAAAATAGGGCTCAAAGTGGGCAAAATTGCCGATGCGTAAACATTGTTGAGACCGCTAACTTCGCGAGAGCATAATTCCGTAAGTTTTCCATCAAATTTCATACTTTTGGTGTCATTATGATCGGGAAAAGATTATCTATCTTTTCATAAGAAATTTTTTTTTTTTTTTTTTTTAAATTTGGCCGACCCTGCGAACAAGTCTCTGAGAGGACCTGTCGACCCCCAAAGGGATAACTGAAGAGAAAAAGTCGATGCCAAGACACAAGCCAATGAAAGACGGGCTCACTCTGTTACTGTGTAGTAATGCAAGTGGGAACTTGAAATTGAAGCCCTTACTTGTTTACCATTCTGAAAATCCACGAGTTTTTAAGAAGAACAATGTTATGAAAAACATATTGGTTGTAATGTGGAGGGCCAACATGAAAGCTTGGGTAACAAGACAATTTTTTATTGAGTGGGTTCATGAGGTCTTTGCTCCCATTGTCAGAAAGTACCTCATTAAAAAACAATGAGGTGTCAGTGGTGTAAAGAGACAGAGAAGAGAAACAACACCAGAAGGACAGTTGCCTGACATATTAATAGATGACTCTCCTTCCGAGCAGTAACATACCCCCTCCTCTCCTCCACCTCCTGCTTCCAGTATACCATTAGCTCTCTTCTGACAGGCAAGGGACAGTTAAATTTTCATTTACTGTACAGTATTTCAGTTAAAGTTTCTTTTAGTACTCATTTTTACAGTTTTATGTAGTAGTTAGTACATTTTTAATAAATTATTATATTGTCATTTGGGGGAAAAATTGCTTTGGTTGTCATCTATTTTGGTTGTTGAATCAACATTTGGAATTATTTAAATTTGACAGCCAAGGTTCCACTGTACTTGTAATGTGTCTGTGTACATTTACGTGGATGATGTCCTGGTGACTAGCTTGTCTTCTTTACACATCTGCAAATTTCTGCTCTTTATAAAGTGGGTATACCCAAGGTTATGCTGAAACTTTCTTCCTCATTGTGTACTGTATTGAATACTATATCTAGTATTACAAGTGTGTGCTTTTCCTCGCTTAATTGTGGTGATGCATAAAGAAACTGGTCAATTCATTGAATTTGGCTGATCATGAATTTGCTAATCCAGTCTCATTAGGTTTCTTGGTGTGTTTGCTCATGTTATACAAACAGAGCTAAATTTGAGATGCCCACTTTTATTTTAGCCTGTCATATTTTTTATAACAGTTTCCAGTTATAGCACGTTGTTGCCTTTTGAATGGCATTCCCTTAGTGTACCACTCTTCTTGAATTTTTTTTAATTGTCCTTTTGATGCATACCACTCTGACTAATGAAAATGTAATGACACAATTGTAAGCACAGTTGTCATGGGTTGAAACCCATAACAAGTCAGGTCTAAAAGTAGCAGGCCAGTGTGTTATCCACTAGAGCATGCTGGCCTATGATCCTTCTAACTAGGTGTATTTATATACACTGTAGGAAGGTTAGCATGGGACCCTACTATGACCACAAATGCATTTTTTTTTTATTGTAGCAAGCTATATTTTAAGTCCCTTCAAAGCTATTATGGTGTGTAGAAGTACACCTGGCTCATGAATATTATTAGGATGGTACTGTGGGCACCACGTTAACCTGTTAATTCTAACTGTGGTTTCTTCTCTCTTTTACAATGTGTACAAACCTTTTCTTATAACTTTATCTTAGTTTATCCAATATTTGGCTCATAATTAATATATATTTTATTTGACTTTAGCTACCAAACTCTCTTCCAAGTCATCCACCAGATGTCAAGCAAGAGCCCAATATCACTCAGTTGCAGAATCAAACACAACAGCAAAAGCAAACTGCCTCAAATAACTTAGTAAGTAATACTATTAGTTGAAGTTTCTAACACCTTAGTATTAACCCTTTCAGGGCTTCGGCTGTACTAGTACGGCTTACGCACCAGGGTTTTTGAAGTACTAGTTCGCCTAAACTCTAGCGCCCTCAAATCTAGTGAGAGAAAGCTGGTAGGCCTACATATGAAAGAATGGGTCTATGTGGTCAGTGTGCACAGTATAAAAAAAATCCTGCAGCACACAGTGCATAATGAGAAAAAAAACTTTGACCGTGTTTTTGGATTAAAACAGCGACTTTGCACTGTATTTTCGTATAGTATTTATTGTTGTATTCTAGTTTTCCTGGTCTCATTTTATAGAACGGAAGACATATTACAGAAATTGAGATGATTTTGACTGGTTTTACAATGAAAAGTACCTTGAAATTGAGCTCAAAGTAGCAGAAATGTTCGATTTTTACCAAAGATCAAAAGAAAACAAATAATGCCAAGCGTTCAATGCACGTTAACTGGTGAGTCTAATATTCTTTCACAAGTGCACTGATATTATTTATACCATTTCTACACTAATGCAGTAGTCTGCATAACAGTAAATCTTCTATTTTTTTGTGAGAATAAAAATTCAAAGTGGAAAGCAAAAGAATGTAAGAGGGGCGTGGGGATGTGACTAATGAACAGAGAAAATGTTATTTTAGTGCCAGGAATGTCTTTCTTGTTTATTTTGGACTCTATTTGGAAATTGGCATCTTTTGAAATTTGTGAGAAATTAGCAAAATTGCTAAATTCTTACCACTGTGTTGGATAGTTGAAATCAGTAAATGGGTGGTTTCTTGTACTCATTTGATAGAAAAAATGGAGTTCAAGCAAAATAGTTATGATTTTTGTCGACTAGTACACTGGAATTGGCCGAAAATAGGGCTCAAAGTGGGCAAAATCACCGATGCGTAAACATCGTCTAGACCGCTAACTTCACGAGAGCATAATTCCATAAGTTTTCCATCAAATTTCATACTTTTGGTGTCATTATGATCGGGAAAAGATTCTCTCTTTTCATAAGGAAAAAAATAGTTTTTTTTTTTTTTAAATTTGGCCGATCCTGAGAACAAGTCTCGGAGAGGGCCTGTCGACCCTGAAAGGGTTAATGTTGGTCACAGTTTTTAGCAAGTTAAATGGTACAATATACAAATAAATATTATTAGCCAGTGTCTAACAAATTCGAATTGTTGTTAGTTATTTCAAGAAATAACTTTATCCCTTATAGGTAGGTAGGTTGGTAGACAGCAACTACCCAGGGAGGTACTACCATCCTGCCAAGTGAGTGTAAAATGAAAGCCTGTAATTGTTTTACATGACGGTAGGATTGCTGGTGTCTTTTGTCTGTCTCATAAATATGCAAGATTACAGGTACGTCTTGCTACTTCTACTTACACTTAGGTCACACTACACATACATGTACAAGCATATATATACACACCCCTCTGGGTTTTCTTCTATTTTCTTTCAAGTTCTTATTCTTGTTTATTTCCTCTTATCTCCATGGGGAAGTGGAACAGAATTCTTCCTCCGTAAGCCATGCGTGTTGTAAGAGGCGACTAAAATGCCGGGAGCAAGGGGCTAGTAAACTCTTCTCCTGTATATATTACTAAATGTAAAAGGAGAAACTTTTGTTTTTCCTTTTGGGCCACCCCGCCTCGGTGGGATACAGCCCATGTGTTGAAAGAAGAAGAATATATACACCCCTCTGGGTTTTCTTCTATTTTCATTCTAGTTCTTCTTTCTTCTTTATTTCCTCTTACCTCCATGGGGAAGTGGAACAGAATTCTTCCTCCGTAAATCATGCGTGTTGTAAGAGGCGACTAAAATGCCAGGAGCAAGGGGCTAGTTACCCCTTCTCCTGTATGAATTACTAAATTTAAAAAGAGAAACTTTCGCTTTTCCTTTTGGGCCACCCTGCCTTGGTGGGATACGGCCGGTTTGTTAAAAAAAAAAAAAAAACTTTATCTCTTTCTTCATTAACTTTTAACAACTCAAAATATTCCCTCCATCTTCCCAGTACCTCCATCTCCCCATTTTGTTTTTAACTATTAAATCCATTTGTTCCCTAGGCTTTCTTAACTTAACCCTTTCACCGTCCATACCCTCAAAATTAATATTGCTCTCAGTGTCCACTTTGTTTTTCTTCTGAAAGGGTAGAGAATCATTTCCTGATGGTAACGACACCAAAACTACGAAATTTGATGGAAAAGTTAAGGAATTATTCTTGCGCAGATTTAGCGGTCTAGGAGCAATTTATGCATCGGTGGTTTTGCTCACTGAGTTTTGCTAGTATACCTTCTGGTCTATCGACTGAACAGTTTTTGTTAGTATGCCTTCTGGTCTATTGATTAAACAGTTTTTGTAGTATTACTGTTATATGTTGCTATACTGTTCATGTTATTTTATTAACACACTGGTCGATTCCCACTAAGGCAGGGTGGCCCGAAAAAGAAAAACTTTCACCATCATTCACTCCATCACTATCTTGCCAGAAGGGTACTTTACACTACAGTTTTTAAACTGCAACATTAACACCCCTCTTTCAGAGTGCAGGCACTGTACTTCCCATCTCCAGGACTCAAGTCCGGCCTGCCGGTTTCCCTGAATCCATTCATAAATGTTACTTTGCTCACACTCCAACAGCACGTCAAGTATTAAAAACCATTTGTCTCCATTCACTCCTATCAAACACGCTCACGCATGCCCGCTGGAAGTCCAAGCCCCTCGCACACAAAACCTCCTTTCCTAGGCCAACCCCTACCCCGCCTTCCTTCTGCTACAGACTGATATACTCTTGAAGTCATTCTGTTTCGCTCCATTCTCTCTACATGTCCGAACCACCTCAACAACCCTTCCTCAGCCCTCTGGACAACACTTTTGGTAATCCCACACCTCCTCCTAACTTCCAAACTACAAATTCTCTGCAATATATTCACACCACACATTGCCCTCAGACATGACATCTCCACTGCCTCCAGCCTTCTCCTCGCTGCAACATTCATCACCCATGCTTCACACCCATATAAGAGCGTTGATAAAACTATACTCTCATACATTCCCCTCTTTGCCTCCAAGGACAAAGTTCTTTGTCTCCACAGACTCTAAGTGCACCACTCACCCTTTTCCCCTCATCAATTCTATGATTCACCTCATCTTTCATAGACACATCCGCTGACACGTCCACTCCCAAATATCTGAATACATTCACCTCCTCCATACTCTCTCCCTCCAATCTGATATCCAATCTTTCATCACCTAATATTTTTGTTATCCTCATAACCTTACTCTTTCCTGTATTCACTTTTAATTTTCTTCTTTTGCATACCCTACCAAATTCATCCACCAACCTCTGCAACTTCTCTTCAGAATCTCCCAAGAGCACAGTGACATCAGCAAAGAGCAACTGTGACAACTCCCACTTTATGTGTGATTCTTTATCTTTTAACTCCATGCCTCTTGCCAAGACCATTGCATTTACTTCTCTTACAACCCCATCTATAAATATATTAAACAACCACGGTGACATCACACATCCTTGTCTAAGGCCTACTTTTACTTGGAAATAATCTCCCTCTTTCCTACATACTCTAACTTGAGCCTCACTATCCTCGTAAAAACTCTTCACTGCTTTCAGTAACCTACCTCCTACACCATACACCTGCAACATCTGCCACATTGCCCCCCTATCCACCCTGTCATACGCCTTTTCCAAATCCATAAATGCCACAAAAACCTCTTTAGCCTTATCTAAATACTGTTCACTTATATGTTTCACTGTAAACACCTGGTCCACACACCCCCTACCTTTCTTAAAGCCTCCTTGTTCATCTGCTCTCCTATTCTCCGTCTTACTCTTAATTCTTTCAATAATAACTCTACCATACACTTTACCAGGTATACTCAACGGACTTATCCCCCTATAATTTTTGCACTCTCTCTTGTCCCCTTTGCCTCTATACAAAGGAACTATACATGCTCTCTGCCAATCCCTAGGTACTTTACCCTCTTCCATACATTTATTAAATAATTGCACCAACCACTCCAAAACTATATCCCCACCTGCTTTTAACATTTCTATCTTTATCCCATCAATCCCGGCTGCCTTACCCCCTTTCATTTTGCCTACTGCCTCACGAACTTCCCCCACACTCACAACTGGCTCTTCCTCACTTCTACAAAATACGGTACCCAAATTACCATACATGGTAACGTGTAAATTAGCTAGCATAACCCAAAGTCTTTCTGTACTGAATGGTTCTTCAGTATTTTGTGCTTTGTAATATTTTTGTGTCTTTCAGTGTCACTCAATTTAGCTGCAATTGAACATTTGCAGGACACTGTCACTCATGTGAGTCACGTACAATACGTGCACTGGACCCAACTGGCCATGTTCTCTCTCTACTCGCCGTCTCGATGTGTGCAAGCGGATGTGTTTATGGTTAGGACTGCATATTGATTTGTGATGGTTTTTTCATGTGTTTCAAAAATATTTTATGTTTTTAAGTTTATTGATTTTACTATTTAGTAAGAGTACATTTGTATTGCAACACAAACCTACAGTGTGCAAATGGTGGTTTTTTTGTATTACTACTGTATACCAGTATGTATCATTATTTGAACCCCTTTTAACCCTTAAACTGTCCAGATGTAGATCTATGTTTGCATGCATACTGTTCCGACCTTGATTTTCTCCATTTGAAAGCATGTAAAAAAAAAAAAGTAGATCTACATTCGGAGCGCTATGCACGTGAATGTAGATCTACATTTGGACAGTTTAAAGGTTAACAGCATACACTATTACTTTTGCTTTTTATATCTCATAACATTCCCTTAACCAGTTAACTGTCCAAATGTAGATCTACATTCACTCGCATAACTCTCCAAACGTAGATCTACGTTTTTTTTTTTTACATGCTTTCAAATGGAGAAAATCAAGGTCGGAGCACTACGCGCAAAAACATAGATCTACGTTTGGACAGTTGAAGGGTTACTATCAAAATCATTGGTAAACAGGCAAATTAGTTTACTGATACTAACCCGTTGTCAATCTGACTCTACAGCCTTTTACCTTAGCCTACCTGTGCTAAGCACCAATGAATTTTTATGATGGATGATTATTTTTGTTATTTATTCATCATATATTTATACAAAATAGTTTACACGGTTCATTATTGGGTCATACACAGGAGCTGTGATTACTGTCTAGTATCAAAACACTTACCTAAGCTTAATGTGAGGCATATGAGCAATGTAACCTTCAGCCTCCTGGGTAAATTTTTTAGACTTATTTGGGGAAAAAATAGTGTCTTTGATGCTGTAAAATACAGTATGTTCTTTTGTAAGCAGTGATCATGTTTTTTTTGGTACAGTACAGTACTGTGTTTAGATTTGGGTCCCATCCCCAAGCTGTCCCATTTTATAGATGCAGACATACAAAAATTCCCAAATCCGAAACACTTTCGGTCTCAAGCATTTCAGGTAAAGGATTCTCAACTGTATTAGCATTAGCATCAACTGCAGTAACAGCAGCCACCACAGATTCCTCCTCCTCCTCCTCCTCCTCCTCGTCCTCCTCATCCTCCTCGTCCTTGTCCTCCTCGTCCTCCTCGTCCTTCTCGTCCTCCTCGTCATCCTCCTCGTCCTCGTCCTCGTCCTCCTCCTCCTCCTCCTCCTCGTCCTCCTCGTCCTCCTCATCGTCCTCGTCCTCCTCCTCGTTCTCCTCGTCCTCCTCCTCATCCTCGTCGTCCTCCTCCTCCTCCTCCTCCTCCTCCTCGTCCTCCTCCTCCTCGTCCTCCTCCTCGTCTCCTCCTCCTCGTCCTCCTCCTCGTCCTCCTCCTCGTCCTCCTCCTCGTCCTCCTCCTCATCCTCCTCGTCCTCCTCCTCCTCCTCCTCGTCCTCCTCCTCCTCCTCCTCCTCCTCCTCCTCCTCCTCCTCCTCGTCCTCCTCCTCCTCGTCCTCCTCATCCTCGTCCTCGTCCTCCTCGTCCTCCCCGTCCTCGTCCTCCTGATATATATGTGCTTTCAGCATTACCACAAAGTGCATTATTATATACTGCAATAATCAGGGTAAGGTAGATATTTATCCTGACTTGTGCTAGTGAACAGGGCTCTTGATCCAAGGAATTGGACCTGGCCTCCATTTCCTTAGATCAAATCTTATTGCCTCAGGCATTGTATTCTTATGGGTTTAGCACTTCTCCCATTAATGTAATACACTTATGTACTGTAATTCTGGCTTGTAATTGTCTGTCTCTATAGGACTTAGATGAGGATGAAGACCAAAAATCTAGTCGTCAGTATTGTACCCTGAGTACATTACCAGAAGGCCAGATTGGAACATTAAAAGTATATAAATCTGGCAGAGCAGAAATGTGGTTTGGTCAACATAAACTTGCTGTAAATAAAGGTACCCAAGTTGGATTTTTACAAGTAAGTTGAAGATTGTGTTTACCTTATTTTTTAAATCTTTAAAAAAAAATATTCACTGGTGTTAAACACTTGTTATTAAATTTTCAAATGTTTAGTAACTGTAAAAAATTGTGTTCCATAAAGGATTTTGTGTGTGTGTGTTTCTTTTCTTTTTTTTGACACTGGCTGTCTCCCACCAAGGCAGGGTTATCTAAAAAACAAGAAAAAAAATCTTTCACCATCATTCATTCCACCACTGTCTTGCCAGAGGGATGTTGATACGACACTTGAGATGCTCCTCCAGACTGCAAATATCCCCACTCCTCTTTCAGAATGCAGGCATTGTGCATCCCACACCAGCTAACTTGTTTCCCTGAATCCCTTTAAAAATGTTACCCTGCTCACACTCCAACAGCTTGTCAAGTCACAAAAACCATTTGCCTCCACTCCTATCTAACATGCACGTACGCACGCACGAGCATGCACACACGCACACACACACACGCATGCGCGCACACACACACACACACACACACACACACACACACACACACACACCACACACACACACACACACACACACACACACACACACACACACACAGAATAGCGTTCCGATACCTTAATAAGGAATCGTTCAAGACACTGTACACTGTGTATGTTAGGCCCATACTGGAGTATGCAGCACCAGTCTGGAACCCACACCTGGTCAAGCACGTCAAGAAGTTAGAGAAAGTACAAAGGTTTGCAACAAGGCTAGTCCCAGAGCTCAAGGGAATGTCGTACGAGGAAAGGTTAAGGGAAATCAGACTGACGACACTGGAGGACAGAAGGGTCAGGGGAGACATGATAACGACATACAAGATACTGCGGGGAATAGACAAGGTGGACAGAGATAGGATGTTCCAGAGAGGGGACACAGGGCAAGGGGTCACAACTGGAAGCTGAAGACTCAGACGAGTCACAGGGACGTTACGAAGTATTTCTTCAGTCATAGAGTTGTCAGCAAGTGGAATAGCCTAGCAAGTGAAGTAGTGGAGGCAGGAACCATACATAGTTTTAAGAAGAGGTATGACAAAGCTCAGGAAGCAGAGAGAGAGAGGACCCAGTAGCGATCAGTGAAGAGGCGGGGCCAGGAGCTGAGTCTCGACCCCTGCAACCACAATTAGGTGAGTACACACACACACACACACACACACACACACACACACACACACACACACACACACCATACACATACACATACACACACACATGCACATACACACACACACACACACACACACACACACCACACACACACACACACACACACACACACACACGCACACACACACACACACACACACAGACCAGTGTCACTGACATGTATAGCATGCAAAATCATGGAAAAGTTTGTCAGGAGAAGAATGGTGGAACATCTAGAAAGGAAGGATCTCATCACCAGCAGACAACATGGTTTCAGAGACGGGAAATCCTGTGTCACAAACCTACTGGAGTTCTATGACATGGTGACAGCAGTAAGACAAGAGAGAGAGGGATGGGTGGATTGCATTTTCTTGGACTGCAAGAAGGCGTTTGACACAGTACCACACAAGAGATTAGTGCAAAAACTGGAGGACCAAGCAGGGATAACAGGGAAGGCACTGGAATGGATCAGGGAATACTTGTCAGGAAGACAGCAGCGAGTAATGGTACGTGGCGAGGTGTCAGAGTGGGCACCTGTGACCAGCGGGGTCCCACAGGGGTCAGTCCTAGGACCAGTGCTGCTTCTGGTATTTGTGAACGACATGACGGAAGGAATAAACTCCGAGGTGTCCCTGTTTGCAGATGACGTGAAGTTGATGAGAAGAGTTCAGTCGATCGAAGACCAGGCAGAACTACAAAGGGATCTGGATAGGCTGCAGACCTGGTCCAGCAAAATGGCTCCTGGAGTTCAATCCACCAAGTGCAAAGTCATGAGGATTGGGAAAGGGCAAAGAAGACCGCAGACGGAGTACAGTCTAGAGGGCCAGAGACTACAAACATCACTCAAGGAAAAAGATCTTGGGGTGAGTATAACACCAGGCACATCTGAAGCGCACATCAACCAAATAACTGCTGCAGCATATGGGCGCCTGGCAAACCTCAGAACAGCATTCCGACATCTTAATAAGGAATCGTTCAGGACCCTGTACACTGTACGTTAGGCCCATATTGGAGTATGCGGCACCAGTTTGGAACCCACACCTAGCCAAGCATGTAAAGAAACTAGAGAAAGTGCAAAGGTTTGCAACAAGACTGGTCCCAGAGTTAAGAGGTATGTCCTATGAGGAGAGGTTAAGGGAAATCAACCTGACGACACTGGAGGACAGGAGAGATAGGGGGGACATGATAACGACTTACAAAATACTGAGAGGAATTGACAAGGTGGACAAAGACAGGATGTTCCAGAGACTGGACACAGCAACAAGGGGACACAGTTGGAAGCTGAAGACACAGATGAATCAAAGGGATGTTAGGAAGTATTTCTTCAGCCACAGAGTAGTCAGGAAGTGGAATAGTTTGGGAAGCGATGTAGTGGAGTCAGGATCCATACATAGCTTTAAGCAGAGGTACGATAAAGCTCATGGTTCAGGGAGAGTGACCTAGTAGCGACCAGTGAAGAGGCGGGGCCAGGAGCTTGGACTCGACCCCTGCAACCTCAACTAGGTGAGTACAACTAGGTGAGTACACACACACACACACACACGGTGGCCTGGTGGCTAAAGCTCCCGCTTCACACACGGGGGCCCCCGGGTTCGATTCCCGGCGGGTGGAAACATTCGACACTTTTCCTTTACCCCTGTTGCCCTTTTCACCTAGCAGCAAAAAAGGTACCTGGGGGGTTAGTGGGACTGGTGTGGGTCCCCATCCTGGGGGACAAGTTTAAGGCCCCCAAATGGAAATAAGTTAGACCCTCGATGACGAAACTGATTTTTTCTTGGTTACCCTGGGGGGAAAAACCCCCTCCGGGGTTAAAAATCCGAATAAAAATTTTATCTTATTTATCTTACTTATCTCATGTAAGAAAGTGCGGTATTTCCCAGGGGGGTTGGGGGTAGGTCACAAAAAAGGGTTGGGCGCCAAGGACCACTGGTTTACTTTCCCAACAACAACCCCCCTACCTTTCAGTACATAACCCCCCAAAATAATTCCCCACAAATTCCCACACACCCCACAAAACCAACACACACAAACCCCACACCCCACACACACACAAACCACACACAAAACACACACACACACACACACACACACACACACAAAAACACACACAAACACAAAACACACAAAACACAACACAACACAAAACAACACACACACCCCAAAAACACACACACACAACACCACAACAAACACACAACACAACACACACACCCCAAAACAACACACACAAACACAACACACAACACACACAACAAACACACAACAACACAACACCACAACACCCACACAACAACACACACACACAACACACACACACACACAACAAAAAACACACACACCACACACACACACACACACACACACACACACCCCAACACACCACACACACACACACAAAACAATCCACAAAAACAAAACACCCACACACCACACACCCCACCACACCCCAATCCGACAACACCCCCCCCCCCTCACCCCCGACATCTCACTATTTCCCCCTGCCCCTTTCCCCTTTTTTCCCTTTCCCCCCCCTCGATCCCCTCCCCCCCCCCTTTTTTTCCCCCTAAACCCTTCCCCCCCCCCCCACTCCGCCCCCAAATACCACATTCCTCCACTACTTCCCCCCCCCCCCCCCTCTGACATACACACTACAACCTAACATACAGAATACATGGGTTTTCCCCACTCTGGGGCCCAAATCAGGAAAAAAACAAAAAGGGGTTGCCAGAGAGCAAAAAGAAAAACCAAGGGACAGGGGGAGGAAATGCAAAGGAAGATTGGGCACCAGAGCTCAAAAAAAAAGGATCATAAGGGGAAAAGAAACTAAAAGAACTTAGAAATGAGGTGGAAAAAGAGGTTAGATTTTGGAAAAGGGCCGGAAGTGGGAGGTCCCATGTCAAAGCGCAGAACTGGGGAAAAAAGAGTTTAAAAAAGGGAAATTAAAAAATCTGAAACACCTAAAAAAACAAAGAACATTTTGGGTTTGACAACAGAGACTGCTCCCCCACCCACAAAAAAAGGGGGGACTGTGGGAAAAGAAGGGGCAAACTCAGGGGAAAAGCCCCTATAAGGAGACTGTAGAAAATTGAAAGAGTAAGTTTAAATGTGGAGGCCCTAACGCCCAAAAACAGACCCCAAAGGGAAAAGGGCCCCGAGGGGGGAAAAAATGACAGCCAGGCCCCCAAGAAAAATTACCAGTGAAACTGATGAAAAGGAAACTGCAGTGGGGGAAAACCCAAAATTTAAAATGGGGGGTTTACACAGGGATATGAAAGTGGGAGAAATGAAAGGGTGAGGCAGTTTTTTGTGTATGGGCCCCGGGAAATTCGAAGGGGAAACATATGAAGCAAGAAAAAAAGGGGGGAAAAAACGCAATTGAAAGCATCATAAAAAGAAATAGGAGAAAAAACCTATGCCCCGCGGGAAAAATTTTCCCGGAGATGGGTGGTTTGTAAAAAAAAGAACCCGGCCAGTGAGAGGCCCCTTCAAGGCAGAAGCGACCGGACCAGGATCCTGCGGAAAACCCCGTTTTGGGGGGACATAAAGGGCATACGGGAAAGGGTGTATCTCGACCGCGACAAAAACACAAGAAGAAAGGGCCAGAAACTGAGAAGAGATGGTACAAAGGCAAAAGGAGGAAAGAGAGGGGATGGAAAGAAAGACAGGAGTTTCCCAGCCCCGGGAAAAATCAAAAAAACAGCCCCCCCTCTCCCAAAATCCTATAGAAGCCTTTCCCCAAATAGGGCAACCCCAGTGCAACCAAACCCCCTTAAATCAAAACACCCATGCCACATCCCAAAGCCCCCACCCACTACAATTTCAAACCCACCCCC